ATGAATTGCACAAAACATTTCAAAGGATTTTTCAATTCACAACTCCTGATCAAATTAGTCTTTATGTTTCTTTTCACTTTGCAAACTTTTCTTATTTATAGCCAACGCACTTAGCATTAATGCGAAAGCGGAAAAATGTACAGTCAACAAACATATAGTCCATGAATCATACTTTGTTGGTCGATATAAATTTAGAAAACACTGTAACACCCTATATTTTACAACTCCTTACAGTCTTTCCCCTTTTTATGACCCCTCGAGAGGAAATGTGAATATATTAGGTGTAAACTGGAAATACAGTGAATGTGACATTAACATAGGTGTACAAAGAAATATGGAGATAAGAAATTAAATTATTTATTTGGTCATTATTATTATTTTGCAATTTTCCCCGCTTCGCCCAAACTTTCGCGTCACCCCCACACATTTCCTTCTTCATCGTCCCCGGCGATAATAACTTTATCAGCCAGCACACTTTTACTTCACTCTCTCTCTCTCTCGGCCTGCTGAGGTGAAAAGTTTCACTGCCTGTATTTTCCTGTTTTTCTTTTTCATCCCTCACCATCATCAATTCAGATGTTCGCGGAAAATTTTACGAGTTTCTCTCTTCGAAAGACGTCCCTCCCCCGCTTTCCGCCCAACCACAATAAAATACACTTTTATCTTCTTCTTCTTCGCAATAACGGGTATGAGAAAAACATGAGAAAATTTCCTCCTATTGTTCCTATGTTGCGCGCCTACTTTCATTTTAAAGTGAAAACGTGCTTCTAACATATTTCTTCTTGTTCTTCACTGCTTGTACCACTATTTTTGCCAGCCTCCTGTTCTCACCCCAACCCTCGAACATTTAAGCATATCTTCACATCCGCTCTTCCCTCTTAAGGCGAAAATACATTGGAAAAAATCACGCGAGAAACACACAAAAGACTGCAAAAGTGTAACTGATCGTTGTTAGAGACTTTCTGCTTCCATCCATGGAGAGTAAATTTGTGAAGTCACGCCCACTCAAGTGCCCCGCCCCCCTTTAACGACTTTTAGCATAAAGTTGGTTTGTTTGTATTAGCCAAACAGTATTTGTTTGGCGAATTTGCATTCCTTTCAATCACAATTTTAGTTGCACATTTTGCAAATTTACGAATTTCTTCATACATTTTCTCCCACTTTTTTTCCGTGTGCATTATTTTCTGTCCTGTTTAAGCAGAGAATACCAATTCTATCCATTCCCCCCAGCGAAAAAGTAACGTCCTGATATATGTTGTATGAATGTGTGAATTTCCATCCATTTCTCCACAGACATGCACGTTCATGATGACGGCACGAACTCCAAAATATTTTCCACCCAAACCAAAAATTCTCAGCTAACTTATCCAATAAAAATTTTTTCGCCTGCAACGAAAGAGTTATCTGCAAATTCATACAATCCACTCCATCTTCTCAGCTTAGAAACTATGCAGATTTCAACCCTAAAATCAATATGATTCATCATAGTGCATAACATGAAAACCAGGAAATGCAATTAATTACTTGCCCATCAAGTTGATTGCATTAAAATTTAGTGACTCAACGACTTCACTCTTGCAAATCAAATAATGAGAATATACTGTATTAGATATCGTTATTAAGTAAGTGCATGCTAATCAAGAAATTCAGAGAGAGAGAAAAGCAGCTGTTCTCTGCTTTGAAAACAAAACCATGATAACAGTGTAATATTTATTTTTCATATCATTCCCTCCTCCGCTCCTTCTCCACACTCACTTTTGCTATAATTTTGGTGTTTCACCTTCATTATTTCATGTGCGTGACGATTGAACTCCGCTACTCCTTATACATTAGAAATTACAAGGATTGCGCCAAGAGGCGGGGATACCAACATTTCTATCCTCACACAGATTTCACATACAATATTCACCAGCCATGGAAAGCCACAGAAAAGACTCCCAAGTCACACGGTCGGACCAGTATAAAATGGATTTAATTAATGTTGTGTGTGTTTAAGGACGGATTAAATATTCTAGCCGTGGAGTGTGGGAGCTTCGGGAAATGAGTATCAAAACTGCCCGAAAAGGGCTTTTGGACGTTCTCCAAAGAATAAAGGGTCACTGGGAATCTGAGGACTATGTGTAGCATACATTATTAAAGTCCTACATTGTCTAATGTCCAATTCTGCACGATTATTTATCATATCTGAAATTTGTGTTGGGAAAAAGAGCCTCTCTTTTCTCACTCCGCCTTCTAAATTTTATTATTACAAAATAGATTAAATTAAATTTATACAATAGTTCGCAGCACAGAGAGATAAGACACACAGAGCAGAATATTGGCGAAATCTGTATGAGAAGGTATATGTGTATAAGCCTCTAAGGGTTTCCGTCATAATTTGTTACGGGTTAATTTCCTCCGAAACAATCTACGCAAAATAATGTATGTGTGCTCCAAAGGGAGAAATTTATGTAAATATTCCATATAACAAAATATACAGTCAAACTCTCTGTGTGTATACAAGTTCAAAAAGCATATTTGCCTTTAGCCACATAGGAATTTTCCAAGTAAATTTCAACATTCACTTCTTTTCCTCCCCCTTTCTCGTCTCCACACACACTCACACACTCAACTTATCGTCTCCACACAGTCAATGTCTCTTCAATATTGCACCGAAGAAGAAAGAAAAAAAATATAGATGTGATATTATGTACATAAAGAAGGAAAAAGATCTAAAATACCGATCATATCATTTCGCTGTGAAGTACACATTTTTCCCGCATATATTTTTTTCCATCAAACGTGATGATTAAATAAAATAATCGGATGGGAAAAAGTTGTATTCCAGGGGAGAAAAACCATTTCACTTCACATATCTTTTGAGATATCAAATAAAAGAAGCATCATTATCAACACCTGTCGACTACTGAAACCTTCAACCTCTGCCCGCCTCTCGCCCCCCCCCCCGCCAATACACGCTCTACTCTATTATCGAGAAAAGCTCTTTTAGCTGTATTTATATGCAGAGGGTAAACACCAGACTTTCCCATTGAGAAACTTCGTCTCACTATTTTCCATCTCATCTAAGGAGCGCGTGTAAGAAAATTCTCCGACTAATTTACCGTATTTCACGATCTTAAAATCACACTCAGCGCTTCTTCGCGCCACAAGCAATCGCCCATGTTATATAGACGAAAACTTTTATCTGGGCGTCTCGAAACACCTCAGAATTGCTCAAAAAACCATAAAAACCCAGCAAGAATGCAAAATCCCCGGTTAAATGTCTGATTTAAATGCATAGAATGCAGATTGTGTCGGTATTTAAAACGCATAATAAACCACAATACTTTCTTATCACATGGAAATTGCAAACAAGTGCATAACTGATATCATAAAAAAACTGGAATCCATTGATAAAAGTGTGCAATGTGGCTAAAATTATGACTCATGCATTTTTTCGGCATAGCATCATAAAATTTTCGTGATATAAATTGTACTCTTTTTTTTTCAACAAAATACAATCCGTTGAAATTCTCTTGGCCTAATTTTGAAAAAATTTTATATGTTAGTCTTTTATCGTTGCTATCAATATATTGCGATAAACTTTATCAATTTCCTTTCGATTATCTAAATTTACAGATAGCACAATATTGAATATAATGTAGGGAAAAGCAGAGCCATAATGTGAACTTCAAACTTTTGACCAATTATGATGTTCTCTAGACTGTTTGAGTGTCACATTCCACTACATTTACTAGCATTAAACTGAGCATAAGATTTTTGAGCAATAATATTTGAGCACAGATTGTATTTCCACTTAAATCTTGTGTTAAAATGGTTCAATCCGAAAGTTATTGCCTTAATTTAGTAGTGATGAGCAGAATTTGGCTCACTAGAATTGGTTTTAATGCTTTTAAAGCGCACAAAAACTTCCCTGAGCAGAAGAAAGTTGTCAATTTTTGAACAATTAAGGGAACTTATTGTGCTATTTTTGCAATTTCTACAATTAAGTAGAAATACGACTTTGAGAATCTGTGTTCAAATCTTGTTGTTCAATTCAATGCTAGGAAACGTAGTGTTATAATTCTCTGAAAAACACACCATTTTCTATTTAAACTTGTATATTTATGTCCAAAACACATTTCTAAATCAATATTAATGCTACTCTCCAATTTCTCTATCTTTCAGAATATTCAATTTAACACATTTATAACAATAATTGCTCCAGAATTTTGAAATACGGTCCGAAGATTCCCGCTGGCAAATGCAATTTTAACTCTAATGGCACTTTTCATTTTCCCTCTTATGTTCTCCTCTGTCCAGATCTTGGGGGTATTAGTAAAAACGATATCAAATTGATTTCGTCTCCCTGTGCCAACGTAAAAAAAGGCACAGTGTGGCCAAATGGTCATCCAATGATTGCTGATTGAAGTGTCGTGTCATTGAGTGAGCTTCATCGGATTTTTCTCTCCATGTGTGTGGACCAACAGAGAAAAAAGGGGCGCTCCGTCAACCTAATGCCAATAATTTATTTCCACTCTCGGGCAAGGGGAGAGCTGAGAAATGAGGAGAAAAATCACTCTATCTCGCATCCCCAAATACCGTTGATGGTGAATTTTCGCATGAGCTCCCAATTCATTTCCTCTTCTCCTGTTTAAAAAATTAATGACCTTGCATCGCAGCCGAATACGTTTCTGGGCTGCCCTTCTGTTTTCGACTATGGAATTCCCTCTTATCTATTGGAATTCTGTGTGTGTGCGGCGATGTGGGAGGAGGGCGGAAAAATCGACCCGAGAACCTGTACATAATGCAGTGCAGATTGATACGGAATCGTGTGATAATTGCGCGAGAAGCCCATGATGAGTAATTATTCAATGAATTAATATAGACTCTGCTTTTTGTGTGGCTGGACTTTCACTTTTTCTCACACTTTCTCTGTGTGTTGGTTGTTTTTTATTTCGAGGGAAATATAGCGTGGATTTTGGATTTGAATGAGTGAAAAAGCAAATATTCGTACTCACCCGCTTGACCTGAAAGTGTTCAGGACGCAGCGTCTCCTGGATCTCCTGCTCGGGCTTGCTCTGCTGCTGCACCGTCGATCGAAACCCGTCGAGGACACCTTTGAACGTGAACTTCTTCATGGTGCCCGAGAGTCTGTGTGATGGACTAGGGGAAAATCGTCACTTGGATGCAGTCCAGTGTCTCTGTTCACTGTCCACGGGGGCCACACGGCTGCCCAGGCGGGTGACTGCCGAGGAAAATCGATTGCGCGCTGCTCCTCTCAGACGTGGCCAGGGCACAGCATACTATGGGCAGGAAGCTGTGTGCCTGCACAGCAGGTGCCAAACGGAAAGAACCAAGGAGAGAAAGGAGAGCGTGTGGTGTCCTGAAAAAGCACTGTTCACACGTGAAGGCGAGCGTCTGTTGTGGCCACTGCACAGGGAAGTCTCTCACTCCTGGTGACGGGCAACAACTGCTGATGGGCCGTCGCGGAAGTGGGACATGATAGGAGCGCTAGAGAATCACCACGAACACTGCAATGTCGGGCTGTGCGGGCTTTCCACTCGCCCCGAGAATTTTCCACACACACAAACACACACACGCAAGCACAGTGGCGGGAAAATGAGGGGCGGCTGACGGATACGGCAGTCCTGATCAATTTCGCCACTGGATCTGCGCCGGAGACAACCACCAGCTGCCTCACTCTCGCCCCCAATCCGCGCAGCGTGCGTCCGAGGGAGACCTCCTCAGCGCTCGACCCCAATTTTCGCCAAGCCACCAGCGCAACGCAAAATCTCTGCGCCTCCAATAAAAAGCCCTTTTTCCTGCTGCTTTTCCACCACCCCAATTCTCCTCGCCCCCCAATGTGACGTACACGGCCAATGCGCAGAATTTCCCAACGATACACCAAAGCTCCTCCGTGAGACGTTTTGGGCAATGGGCAGCCTCTTTTCCTGACCTTGCCACGGGATGGCTCCGACTGATTCCACACGGGGATACTCTCTAGCCCTTTTTCCACCACTCTGTCGCACTTCTTATCACTTTTTCACACTGATTTTCCGCGATTTTTTGCAACCAGACACATCACGACATCCACGAATGACAATCGGTTCAGCTGTCACTCACTTTTGAACGATTTCAGGTGCGGACGAGAGTTTCACGCGGGTTTCTTTCGCGTTTCTCATGCTGTGAAAATTTCACGCGCAGCTTTTCCGCATCAGAAACTTCCACATAGAGTAAACAATGCATAAGGAGGCGTGGCATCCACATAGGAAGGACTTTAAATCCCGTCCCGGGAGCTCCGGAAAATGATTAGTACAGTAAATAGCAAGCAATATTATTGCAATCCAAATAATCTATGTGGCAAAAACCATCATCAATGCATCCTTCAGTTCTATTTCTCCCATTTTTTCTCGGAAAATATTTCTCACAACGAAAATTTCATGAAATTTTCAAGTTGAAAGCTGTCAGTCAATGCAGCCAACATTCGCCAGTTGAAAGTTTATTTTCATCGCAACTTTGTCGGTCGGTGTTTTTACTGCTGACAAAAAGCGCCCCAAAATCACCATGTTCAGGACAATCCGGTCCAGTTTCCGTGCTTTCGGGACAATAGGTGTCCTGCAGAGTCGAAAGAGAACAAATCTGAGGTGAGACAGTGCCGATGAACGTGCAAAAAGGCACGTCTCGAGATAAGACTAATCTCAGGGGCTTTCTTGATAGATATCCCGTGGGATTTCTCGTGGGCACGGGCGTAGCGCTCTGGTGGACGACAAGGGATGCCCAGACGGAGCCTCGGAAGCAGAAGATCAATCCCAGCCACTTTATGGCCACTCCAGTGACGAATGTGAAGCACTTGGAGGACAATCCGGAGGACATGAAGATTCGGATGGAATTGCTAATAATGAAGATCCAGGCGGACTTCTGTCGCGCCCTGGAGGCTGAGGAGTTCGCGGGGAAGACATTCGTGGTGGACAAGTGGGAGAGGAATGAGGGTGGCGGTGGAATCACGTGTGTTCTGCAGGACGGAGAGGTTTTCGAGAAGGCCGGAGTGAACATTTCTGTGGTGTCTGGGAATCTGCCGCCGGGCGCTGTCCAGCAGATGCGCTCACGCGGGAAGAAGCTGTCCGACGGTCCACTGCCCTTCTTCGCGGCCGGCGTGAGTGCTGTCATCCATCCGCGCAATCCCATGGTGCCCACAGTGCACTTCAACTACCGCTACTTCGAGGTCACGGACTCCTCTGGACACAAGCAGTGGTGGTTCGGCGGCGGCACTGATCTCACGCCTTACTACCTGAACGAGGAGGACTCTGTGCACTTTCACAAGACGCTGAAGGACGCGTGCGACGAGCACGACGCCACGTACTATCCGCGCTTCAAGAAGTGGTGCGACGACTACTTTCACATTCCGCACCGGAAAGAATGCCGCGGCATCGGCGGCATTTTCTTCGACGACCTCGATGAGCCTTCGCAGTCGGACGCCTTCGCCTTCGTGTCCTCCTGTGCAAACTCCGTGATCCCGTCGTACTTGCCACTGGTGAGGAAGCACAAGAACGACTCTTATGGCGATCCGCAGCGAACCTGGCAACTCCTTCGACGCGGACGCTATGTGGAGTTCAACCTGATCTACGATCGCGGCACCAAGTTTGGTCTCCACACGCCGGGAGCCCGCTTCGAGAGCATCCTCATGTCCCTGCCGCTCACGGCCCGCTGGGAGTACATGCACGAGCCGAAAGCCTCATCGCCGGAAGCCAAGCTCACGGCCGTGCTGAAGAAGCCACGCGATTGGCTGCAAATTGAGCAGAAACCCTGATCCCAGCTGCCTCTCTCCATGAGCAGTTCTCTGTCCAACTGAACTGCTCCGCGGAGGGAGCGAAGCGCCCGTGCCAAGCGACAAGATTGTAAAGAGAATTTTTATACTTAAAACTTGTTACACTTTTCGAACCTACTTTGAGAGAAATCTAGGCTGATTGTTTTCCTCACAAAGTTTTAACAACATTGTTCCACATAATGAGCATATTTTTATTCATGTGTAATATTGTTATCTAGGATACAACATGAAGAATAAAGAGAACAAATTCTTACTATCCAATCAACTGCAGTGCCAGAGATTCAGCCTCGTTCAGTGACAAATCCTTCTTTGCTTTCTTCCTCACCGGCTTCTCTGGCTCACTCTCTGAACACTCTTGCCCCTCTTCCCTTCCATACACCTCATCGGGATTGGGCAGCCACGACAGATCAGGTTCATCGTCAGCAGAATCACTGCCAAAATCATCCTGCTCCTCTTCCTTCTCCTTCTGGCGCTTCTTCTTCTCCTTCTTGGCTTTGCGCCTCGCCTTCAGAATCTCCTTGTATCGCTCCTGATCGAACTTATCCTCTTCCCGCATGCCCGCCTTTGCCTTTTGCAGATCAATTCCGTCGAACGCTTCGCCAGACTCCTGGCCAATGTCCGTGTGACGAGTGTTAATCGTGGCCATTTGCTCTCCCTCCTCGTCGAATTTGATCTTCGTATTCACGGCAATCTTCCTCTTAAGCACCGTCTTCGCTGCTGACGCCTTGGAGATCACTTTGGGCTTATTCTTGGCCAGTGATGACGATGTGGAAGGTTCTTCGTGTCCTAAATCCAATTGAGGCTTCGCCTTCACAATGAATTCCTCCTCGTCTGAATCATTGAGTCCAAAATCAAGTTCCTCAGGCGCTGCGACAGGCTTACTTATGCCCATTCGCTTCCTGAAGCGATCCAGGAAGCGCACTCGAGGCGTCGTGACGAGTCCAAGTGACCTGGCAAAGCCATCAATGTCCAGAGAATCCACCTTGAAAATCTCCTTCTTCTTCATCAGCATCACACTCTTGATGTAGGCCAGAAAAGCCCTCTGGGCGGATTCCTTCAGCTCGTGGAACTTGGACAGAAGCACTTCGATCTTCGCGTGAGGCGAGAACATGAATTTGTCATCGATTGAGATGCTCTCGATGGAGATGTTCCTGCTTTTCAGCTCTGCCAAGATGCCTTCCTCCTCGCTTGGCAACACCACCAGAAGATTCTCGCCGTTGGCATTGAATCTTGCCGTCCGCCCAGCACGATGAATATACGCCACAGCGTCCTCCGGACAGTCCAGCTGCACCACCCAATTCACAGACGGGAAATCCAGACCGCGAGAGGCAATGTCCGTGGCCAGAAGCACAACTGCGCTCTTCTGCATGAAGTCATTGTACACTGCCACGCGTCGATCCTGACTCAGAGTTCCGTACAGCGCCAGAAGACTCACTCCCGGACGCAGTTTTGAGAAGATCTCGTGCACGTACTTCACCTGCTTGCAGCTGGCCAGAAACACGATGATCTTACTCCTCTTGTGGTGCTTCACGAACGACCACAGCATCGTGATCTTGTCCTTCAGCTCGCACACCAAGTAACTATGCGTCAAATTGTCCGGAGTGACTTTCACGGTGGCTTGCTGCTCATGGGGCGCCACATAGATGGGATCCACGAGGCTCAGTCTCGCCAAATCCTTCACTGAACGCGTCTGCGTGGCGGAAAAGAGCAGTGTCTGCCTCTCTTGGGGCAGATTCTCAACGATGGCATTCATTGTGGGCTCAAATCCCATGTCCAGACACCTGTCCGCCTCGTCCAGCACGAGAAGCTGCATAGAGTCGCAGTTGAATAGGGCCGTCTGGTCCATATGCTGCAGCAGACGTCCCGGAGTGCAGATGATGATGTTGCACTGATCCATTCGTGTTCGCTCGAACTTCAAGTTCTTCCCGCCAATAATCAGGCCAGCCGAGAAATCGTGGTGCGATCCAATTCTCTTCAGTGTCTCGAATATCTGGTATGCCAGCTCCCGCGTCGGTGTGATCACAATCGCCCCCACGCCGTCGTATCTTGTCCACTTCCTCACGAACAGTGTCTCCAAGATTGGCACGAGGAAAGCCAAGGTTTTTCCACTCCCTGTCACAGCTGCGCCCAACACATCCTTCCCCTGAAGTGCATGGGCTATCGAGAGCTTCTGGATCTCTGTTGGCGTCTCATATTTGCAGGATTTGAGCCCCTGAAGAGTCTTCCTGGACAGAGGCATGTCCTCGAATGAGGTTATGTCATTTGTGTTTATCGTTTCATAGCCACTCTTGAGGCTCTCAATCTCATCGTCCTCCTTCTGTGTTGCATTCTCCTTCTGCACAGGCTTTTTGGCAACCTTTTTCAACCGCTTCTTCTTGTCGTACTTCACGTTTTTCACCATTTTTCAGCCAAAATGCGAAGAGAGAGCGCACTCACAATAATGTAAACACACGTCTGCCCAATTGACAGCTACAGATGGCGTTCGCGTGTTTCTTGTCCCAAATGGTGTTTCACTCTTGTTTCGGTACGGTTTCATTCGTTTCTTGATGTTTCTTCATGTTTTTTTTTAAGGAATATCTCAGAGATCTCAGATTAGAAAGATCATTTGCATGTGAATTAATCAGAATATTTAGCATAATATGTTCACGAGCAGTGCAAAAAAAAACATGTCCCAGAATTCCCAGAAAAGCGACTGTTCAGCCGGGTGGCAATTTCGCACATGGACCAAACGTCAAGTGTGAACAATGTTGTACGTCACGTAGAAAGAGTCCGCGAGTGTTTTTATCAAAAATATCACTGAATAAAATGACAAATTGTTTACATCGGCAGCGGCAGTGATCAAACTACCCAGAAATGAAGTTAATCAGCAGGAATGTAGACAAGGGCGGCAGTGGGTGAGTAGAGAATCGCAAGGCATGCGATTGAGGTTATGTTTTGAGGTGATTTCACACTTTTCCCAATTTCCAGGGCTGTCGTGCTGATGCCAGAGGAGTCGGAGGACATGTGGCATGCCTACAATCTGATTTCCGAGGGCGACAATGTCAAGTGCACAACGATCCGGAAGGTGCAAAATGAGACCGCCACCGGCTCCTCGAGCAGCAATCGCGTCCGGACGACACTCACGATCACGGTGGAGAGCATAGACTTCGACACGCAGGCGTGCGTGCTGAGGCTGAAGGGGCGCAACGTGGAGGAGAACCCGTATGTGAAAATGGGCGCCTATCACACGCTGGATCTCGCGCTGAACCGCAAATTCACGTTGGCGAAGCCCGAGTGGGACACGATCTCGCTGGAGCGCATCGACATGGCGTGCGACGTGACCCAGAGCGCTGACGTGGCCGCGGTGATCATGCAGGAGGGCCTGGCGCACGTGTGCCTCATCACGTCCAGCATGACACTGGTGCGCAGCAAGATCGAGGTGGGCATTCCGCGGAAGCGCAAGGGATACGTGCAGCAGCACGAGAAGGGCCTGGCCAAGTTCTACGAGGCCGTGATGCAGGGCATCCTGCGGCACGTGAACTTCAACGTGGTGAAGTGCGTGCTGGTGGCGTCGCCGGGCTTCGTGAAGGATCAATTCTACGACTACATGTTCCAGCAGGCTGTGAAGACGGACAACAAGGCGCTGCTGGACAACAAGAGCATCTTCATGCTGGTGCACGCATCGTCTGGCTTCAAACATTCCCTCAAGGAGGTGCTGCAGGATCCGGCAGTGGCGGCCAAGATGAGCGACACCAAAGCCGCTGGCGAAGTGAAGGTGCTGGAGCAATTCTACACGACGCTGCAGTGCGAACCGGCGAAGGCGTTCTACGGCAAGAAACACGTCACGTCCGCTGTGGAGGCGCAATGTGTCCAAACGCTCCTCATCTCAGACAATCTCTTCAGGTGAGTGGAAATATTTCAAAGCTTTGCCAACATAATGACTCAATCAACGAAGACACAATCAGTTCAATTGAAATCAATTGAAAGGTGTAAAAAATGATTGGAATTGACCAATATTATCAATTTAATGGAAGATAACAGAGAGTTTAGAGATGAATTAGGGAAATTATAAGGTGACTTCAAATGGCTCTGCTGAAGAATGGTGATTTTGACTTTTGGTAGTTTTTGATTCACCCGTAGAAATGCAAATTTTGTCACCTGTTTCACCAGCTAAGAGATCACAAATCACTTGAAATCAATCAATTATTCAATTCAATGTACAGTTGAGTAATTTATACGCTGAATGAGGCGAATTAGCAATTCTTATTCAATACCGTCATCGTATAAAGGCTGCACTCAAGTCTATATCTTATGAAACACTTTCAGCACTTGTGATCATCCATCATTGAGATCTGCTCACCGGTTTTGCTCTCTTCCTCAATTTCTCTTTATTGTACTCTCCGGTGTTTGTGAGTAAATAAAAAACAAGGCTTTCAAAATTTAATTTCTATAAATTGAGAAGTGGCCTAAAATAGTCTCGCGCCTCTCTTGAGTGGTCACAGCTGAAGTGGCGGCAGGATGAATCTGTCGAGTTGATTTCTGCCAAAAATGTCTGGATCATACTTTCGGCGGTACTGAAGACGATTGTCGCCGTATGTTGGCGGTCGCGGTGTGTGGTTGTGGCTGCAAAAAGTGGTGAATAAAAGGGTCAATGAAGTATGCAGATGTGAATGAGAATGGACCACTCTTTTTGGGTGGCTTCTCAATGAAACATTTTACTTAAGTGGAGCAGAAAATCAAGTTCATGATCATTTGGTGGGCACTTTATTGCTTCAAGTTGCTGTTTTTTTTTCACTCTACTCTTTGGCATGAGAATTGCGTCGTTATGCATGAACTGGTTTTTCATCTTGCGAAGCACATAGAGAGATTTTGTGTTCTTTTCTTCATTCCACATAATTATTTATTGGATAAAATGGTTTGTGTGCCATATAAGAGACTTTGTTGCCAAGGGGAAGATAATATGCTTTTAATCTGTACGTCATTTCGTAACACTTCCAAATATGCCTGAAACTTCCAACACTTGAAAGTTTTAGACTGTTTGCACACTTATCGTCAAAATAGAACAAAATCTTAGTATCCATTCTGACTATAACCTCAAAATTCTTCTTAAAAATCTTTAACGACTCTGTTTTGAAACTTTCTAGATCACAAAACCAACTCTTATGATTTGCCAATGAACTCAAAATTTCTGATTCAGCGTCAAAATCATCCAGACAGTGTTCTGAATAACCATTTTCCAAGTACAAATTACTCGTTTTGAGGTTATGTTCCAGATCAGCTCGATTTACAGTGTTTCTTGTCATTAAAAATTCAGAAAAGCATGTTTATTGTATAATAATGCTTAATTCTGACAATAACTAGCCAAAGAATATTGCAAGTTTTTGAACACTTTCCCATAACTTCCGTGGAGCTGTACACCACTTCTGATCGTATTATCTCACCCTTGTCTGTTACCTGTTGATATTTGCTGGAGTTGATATTTGGTGTGGTGTGGGAGGCTTTATATGTTGATTGTGGGCGCTCTGGCGGTCTTTATCGGTGGTGAATGTGTTGTTGATTACGCTATCGCACTTCTTGCCACGTCTGTTCAAGAGCACATTTCTGGAATCTGGCGCCTTTACGACTTTGCACAGATTACAGCCTTTCTGGCTACCATTGAGAATATTTGGCAATCCATTTGAGTCTATTTTGTAATCTTCCACAAGAGTTGGTGGCATGTTTGTGTGCCGATTTTCTTTATTTTGTAGAAATACTTTGTGTGCAACACACTTTTCCACTGAATATTCAACAGTCACTAATCGGCATTCTTTTTATGGCTTTTTGCCACTTGATAGGCACTTCACTGTATCAATTCCATAAGACATGCTGAGACTCTCTAGAAACACATTCCAAGTAGCAATTTAGCTTGACATCAGAGTCACACACACACACTTTACTTGAGAGATTATGGGAAAAATGCGGGAGAACAATTAAATGATTGTTGCTCTCACGAGGAATTCCAGTGAGTGAATAAAAGTGTCTCAACTCTTGGGCACAGAGAGACAATGAAGAGATACACGGAAAAGAACTCACGCGTTGGCACAAAATGTAAGAGGTTTAGCGCTGAACTGAGAGAGAGAGAGAGAAAAGCGCGGATCGTGTGTGTTGTGGCCGTTGTGGCACGGTTTCTGGTGAAGAACTGAGAGAAGGAGATTCAAGCGAGTGGCGACAAGGCGCTCAGCGTGCAGGTCAGGGGCCCCAAACATGTATGACACAGCGAGATGTGTGTTCAAAATCTACTTGTACACGCGGAACTGCATTCGAGGGCTTTCACTTTTATCACACCCACATTCACATGACTCTTTATCGATATACATTTTGTTGCCTTCTTATCAACATTCTGAGGAAGAGCTTTGAATTTTGTGGTGAATAAAACAAAAATGTGTGTGAGAGAGAGAGAGAGAGAAAAGTTGTTGTTGTTGCCAGACAAGTCACGCAAAGTGATGAAATGTTATTCACAGAAACATTTTATTCATTGTTTTTATGCTGCATTTACTTGAACTTGACGCTGTGTTGCTTGCTAAAAAGGTCTCGATCGGTGCGATGTTTCCTATTTACGAAGAAATGCAGGGCATTAATGTGTTGCATAAGTCATATTTTGGCGGTCGTACGAGAAATTCCTCTGCGTTCAATGGTGCAACCACTGCCTGTAAAGCCTGAATGATCATTTGCGGTGTTTAGAACCGTAGACGGGGAGTTTGTGAGAAAATTCCTGTCTCTCTGTTTTATTATGAAGTGCTAAATATAGCCCTACGCTGAGGCCCAGCACAAGACGTATGCCAAAAAGTGTGGCATGGAGAGACTCTACAAATGATTTACGTTCTTAGAACCAATTTTTGTGGACATTATAATAAGAAAATGCTGTAATTTTCACGACTTGCTGTTGAAAGATCAATTAGGACTCCTATTTTACACTTCATAAAAAGACTGTGAATAGGATTTTTTTTATTGTGAAAGGAAGAAGTGGAAGAAAAGCATTAAACGGAGGCTAAAAACACACGAAAATCAAGTTGAAAAGTCCAAATCAAGGCGCGTTTGTCATGTAATTGTCTTTTAGACATGCCAAATTCATGATTTAATGTGGTTTTCCCAGCCAATATTATAGTTATAATATGAATTTAGAGAAAAATAGGCAGTGTCCTAACTTAATTTTCGCTACTGTATTTCAGCAGCCATAATCTTGACCACTTTTTCCCCCCTTTCTTCTTCCCAACAGATGCCAAGACTTCAACCAGCGCAAAGAGTACGTTCACCTTGTCGACGCCGTCCGGGATTCTGGTGGCGAAGTGAAGATATTCTCCAGCATGCACGTGTCCGGAGAGCGTGAGTGTTTTTCTCCTCTCGCGAGCTTTAAATCTTTTTGGCTGAACAATTTCTTCCATTGCAGAACTGGCACAGCTGACAGGAATAGCGGCAATTCTGCGCTTTGCCATGCCTGAACTCGAGGATGACAGCGATGAGGACAAGAGTGACTCAGATTGATGCCCATTTCCGCCAGAACGACGCGCGTCCCCCGATTGCCTTTCACCTCTCCATTTTGATAATAGCGAGAAAGAGATAATGTTTGTTGAGAGGAAGCGATTTCGCATCGCGTTCTCATTTTAATTTATTTGTTTTCCTATTTTTTACACTCAGGTAGTGAGTCTGAGACGCAGAGCGTGCGAAGAGCATAACAATGTACATATTTAGGGATAATAAACATTAAGAATCAACCTGCAATTTTGCGCTTCTTCTTCTGCTGCTTCTTCTCTGTGTCGATGCGCTGGCGCTTGTTCTCCAGAATGCGACGCTCCTTGTTCTTCGTCAGCTTGTCCTTGAGCAGCTTCCGGAAGAGATTGCGATGACGCGGCTTCACCATTCGCGCATGCAGTCTCTGCTCCTGGATTTCCTGCTTCTTCACCTGCTCAGCGTCCTCCTTGTGCACTTCGCCAGTCTTCACCGTCATCTTTTGCTTCTACCGAGCGAAGAGAAACACATTGATGAGACAATTTGACGGTTAAATACACTTTTCAACTCACCAGTTCCTCTTTCCGCTTCTCCTTTGCCTTCCCCGAGTCCTCCTCGTCATCCTCCGCCTCAGCTTCCTTCCTCTCCTGCCAGTACGCCTTCTCCAGCTGAGCGTCAGTGGACTTCTCCGACTTGTTCTGCTCATTCCTGCTCTTCAGCTTCTTCCCCTTCGGCTTCGTCTCCTTGGGCTCCTCTTCGGCCGACTCCTCCTCCTCCTCTTCCTCCTCTGAATCACTCAGCTTCTCTTCCTCGCTCATTTCCTGATCCTCCGTGAGCGCCTTTTGCTCTGGCGGCACGTATGAATTGTCAGCTTCTTCGGCTGTGAAGGGTGACAAGTGCGGAGGCAATTCCACGCCCAGGAAGTACAAATTCGTGGGCAAGAGCGTGCGTCGATTGACACAGTCGAAGATCCACTGTGGCTGAATGTAGTCCCGGGAGATGTACTGCTTGCCCATGTTGGGTCTGTCGGCGATTTGGTGAGTGATACTCTCGTCTGACTCATCGAAGCTGGCTCCGGGGAAGAGCACCTTGTCCCAGGACACAGTGCCACCGAAGCAGCGGATGATGAAAACCAGAGGCTCTCGCGGAACCTCGCGATTGATGAAGAATTTGAGGCCCTCGAACAGATTCTTCAGTCGTTTCTCCTCAATAGCCTCCGCACGGATCTTGTCCATTTTGTCAGACTGCTCAGATGTCGACGCCAGCAAGTCCATGTCGATATCCTCTTCGGCAGCGTCCGCCTCCGTGGCGACTGTCTTCAGGATGTCCATGTTGAGCGCCGCGATGCGCTCAGACACGAAGGCGGCCTCGCTCTTGGCGCTCTCCTCAGACAGTTCCGTGACACTGGAGGGCATCTGGGGCGGATAGTGGAGATTGAGACCGTGGTAGAGGCGGAAGTTCACAAAGCCAAGCATTATTGAGTAGAACTCCACGAAGATCGACATCACCTTGAAGTCCACCTCTTCCTTGGGCTGCGGCTTGAATGGGTAGTAGTGCGGAATGATCCACGTCACCATCTGGCCCTTGATGCTGGCCTGGAAGTAGTATCCCTTGATGGAGATGAACACCTTCCGGAGCGCCTTGGCTGCGATTATCGCGTGCATAAACTCCACTGTGAGTCGCCGGCAGAGGCTCGATTGGCTGCGCGGCACGAACTTCAGCGAGGGAAACGTGCTGAACAGGAAGAGGAGCGTCAGACAATCGTCCAGATCCTTGACAGCGTCGATGAACGTGGGATAGCGCTCCTTAACGATGTGGTCAATCTTGAGTTCAGGATAGCGGTCAAGACGTCTCCGCAGCTTCTGGAAGTCCTTGAGAGCGCGATCTCGGTCTGCCTGGCGATTGAAGATCTTGTACTTCCGGAGTGTCCACACAATTGGCTCGTGTAGTAAGAAACGAATGTCCTTGGCGTGGTAGAGAATCTTGATGTCCGAGGCGCCACGCTGAGCCTTCCGCCGGTTCTTTGGCTCCCTCGGATAAATCCCCTTGATGATGCAAAGCCGACGGAAGTCATTCAAGCTGAGCTGCAGTTTGTTTAGCGCCTGTCTGCGGGTCACGTAGTGCGTCGCGGTGCCGGTATCATACTGAAAAGCGATAAAGGAGGAACGAAGAATAGTGTAAACATAACCTCTATTGCCACAATTCTCGTCAAATCCGCACAAAACATTGATTTCCGCTACTCTTCAAATTATTCATACCTTCTTAAGTCTCCTCATTGCGATTACACCTTAAATGTTGCCTACGATATTGCGAAAACTGGAGAAATTGCCAAGGGTTGAGCACACACGCGAGAAAACATAAACACGTGAAGTGCGATGACAGAGTCAAGGCTGCCAACTTGGCGCCAAAAGTGAAAACATCGCGCAGTCTATGTTTCATGATTTCACGACGATTTTATGAAAATTCATAAAAGTAACTGCTCAGTTAAGATCAATTTTCTTTAGAATACCTTAATTCTTTTCTAAACAAGTTCTAATTTATGATAATTTACATATACTTCCCAAAAATACCCATAGAACCTCATTTTTTCTTAAAATTTCGCAAATAAACAGTTTCAAAGGCGTAAGAATCTTCAAACAAAGCTTATCAGTGAACAAATGTGTATTATTCAATAAGAATAAATCATTCTTATCATGTGGGAATTGGGAATGAATCGAAGAAACACTTCTGTTTCTTCTATTAATAGACATTTCCCGTACTTTTCCATCACAATATTTTTTCTGCCCAATACACTAAAAATACACATAACTCAGAATTCTCCTCATTCATCATTTCAATTTGTCTGGGGCGGCAGGAATTTCAGTGGTGCGCCTGCATAATCGGCATGCATAGAGGCTATTTTTCCCGGAAATTGGGTCAGCATATTTGTGTCACGACAGCCGATGGAATTTCGCATCTCACCATCGTGTTACTGTGTCATTTGGAGTTAATTAATTGCCCCTGCGCGTGTCGCATTGTGGTGCAAAAAGCCACCCAAGGATGGAAATATGGGCGGGCCGCGGCCGAGCCGTGTCGAAATCTAAAATAATTAGTTCCTATTGAGGAAAGCAGCCGCCTCATCTTCAGCCCATTCATGTCAGTGTCGGTGGAAATTGCGCTGAGCCATGTGGAGTAAATGGATGCCAAATTTTATGCTTATAAATAACATGATTTGTCGTATTAGTTTGCCACCACCAAAACCTCCAATTGTATTGCCCGCGTTCACCCAAATATTTCCCACTTGGGAATTTCTCGGGTGAATAGCGACTTCCGCGTGAGTCTGTATTAAAATACAGTGAAGAAAAACCGCTTTGCACAAGAAATACAGAAGAACTTCTTATACTTCGCCACCCAAGAGAAAAGAAGGAGCTTTTAATTTGTTTGAAGACGTTTTTATGTCCATTCTTATTGTCACACGTTTTATTGGTTGGCTAGAGAGGGAATTAATTTTACGATAGCTCCACAAGAGGGTTCTAAAATTAGGATATGAGGGGTTAATTTCAGGTTAACTTGTACAAATGGTACAAATTGCAAATAGTTCTTGCTTGAAAGGTTGTTTCCGCCCATTCTCAAGCCCCGCCTACTTTTTTTCCGCTGGAAACATTGATTATTTTTCCCGCCATTCCCAAACTTTATATATGGAATCCTATTATGGTAATTTGGAGCATTAAATTGGAGACTCTCTAAGACCGGGACACGAGGAAGGTGAGCCGCATGACGAGCGTAGTGAAATTTGTCGAGAATGTGTGTTGGGAAATTATGCAAAATTGTGCGGTGATGACGCTGAAGGTTTTTTCTTGGCGCTCGCACCGACCAAGGAGCTGGCTTTCATGCCTCACATCAGTCTTGCCCGTTCCGTCACTCGGACCCGTCGTAAATCTCGCCATCGCGTTTAATCGATCTCGTGACCCAGTGCGCGCTGTTGGCTTTGCTATGGAGCCCGAGTACGCCGCTCTCACGGCGGCCCTAGTGCGCCACTTGGGCCCATTTCACTCCGACGGCTCGCCATGGAGCCTGGGCGCGTCCGGGTTCGGTGGCAGGGGCCTCTTCGCCTCGCGCGACATCAGCACAGACGAGGTGATCTTCGAGGATCGGCCCATCATCGTGGGCCCGCGTGCTGGCCGCGACGAACAGGTCACGTGCGTCGTGTGCCACGAGCACGTGCCGCGGAGTGAAATGTGCCCCGGGGGCTGTGGCCTGCCCGTGTGTCACGCGAGTGCCGCCTGCGCCCAAGACGAGACTCACGCCCGAGAGTGCAAACTCTTGGCCTCGTGGCAGCCGCTCAAGACAGCCACGGTGTCTGACAACGTCCTCCGAGCGCTCACATCCGTGCGGAGCCTCCTCCTGGCTCCGGACCCGCTCGCGCTCCTCAACAGTCTGCAGGCGAGTGTCCTAGGCATCCCAAGGAGGGCTGTTACAGTTTAATTGTGTGCAGTAATACGCCCTAAACGCCGTGCCATTGAGTGATGAAGATTTGCATAGAATCGCGTGGTCGATCCTTATCGCACCGCGCAGCGCTTTTCCCGCCAATTAAAGCCATTGATTTATGATATTGAAATGTTGTGCTTGTAAACAATCCTTTGTGATCTTGAGTTTATAAAACAAACTTCTTAAATGTATTGCTGCAAGTGTCAATGCAATGCTCAATTCATACTATGTTTCTTGTTGCAACACAGAATAATTTAAATAGACAATCCGATTCATGACACACATTCAGTAAATCTGGTGATAGTTGTAAAAATGTTCCTAAAATATAGATCAATTCCCATTCAAATTGAGGGATGTTGAAGATGTGTTACAATAGTTTAAATAAGTGTTTTGAATTTCAAGTCACACATGTAAGCCTTTAAATGGCGATTGTGTTATTCCACCACTTGTGTTAAAAAAAACATTGATAATTCTGGTTTAAACGTGTTAAACCAGTTTGTACCGGTTGTTAAAGTGTGTAAAAAGCAGAGTGTCAGATCTGAAGCTGCAGAATAATTCGCAAAGATGGATCAATAATTAATAATTCTGACAAATTTCACTATTTCTCTTCTCTTACACAATGTAGAATCACTTAAAATTCTTAAACACTGTTTTAATGGAAATAGCAAGGGCTGTTTCTCGTGTTTTATGTGTTTGAATTTTAACATTCCGGTGTTTGACTGGGAATCGCTCCAATATTTTGTATTTCAGGCCAATCATTGCCACCAAACTGAGACGGAGATCAATCGAGCTGTGGCGGAATTCGGCAATTTCCCGCATGATCAGCCAGAGATTCTGCGGCAACTCTTCGCCACGTCGGCCGTCCTGAACACCAACGCCTTCGAGACGAAGCTGGTGTCGGAGTACGAGGACAGGAAAAGCCTCCGAGGTTCGGGCAGAGGTGACGTGCACCGTGGCACCCATATTTCCTGACATATTATATCTCCCTCCTTCTGTCTTTCGTTTCAACTCCCTTCTTCGGCGTCACTGCATGCCCAGGACTTTATCCGCTGGCGTGCATGATGAACCACCAGTGCATCCCCAATGTGAGATATTGCTTCGATGCGAAGCACACGATGCGCGTCCAGGCCACGAAGCCCATTCGGCGCGGCGAGGAGATCTTCACGTCCTACATCCAGATCTTCTGGGGCACCTACTCGCGCCGGGTGCACCTGGCCGCCACGAAGGACTTCATGTGCAGCTGCTCGCGATGCGCCGATCCCACAGTAAAAGCCACTGACACGGCGAGAAGATTAAGCCTCACGCTTTAATGTCATCTCTGCTATTAATTCAGTGGCTATTTTAGATCTCATTCATCGCCACATAACACAATTTATCATCACCCCGAAGAATGTAATTCCCCAAATAATGCTCATTGCAGTCACTTGTTATTAGCATAACACTTATCGCGCAGCACCTGATTTCTGGTTAAACAAAAAAATCCCGATCCACAAAAAAGGAATATGTATTTTTTGTCCAATTCGCAACTGATTCACAAGCACATGTGCCATTGTGTATAAATAAATTCATTAATTTGACATTATGTAATGCTGCAATAAGTGCAATGCCAGCAATAAAGTGTTGTGCGGACTCTCATAATCATTTTCATGCGCAAACACACGCTTTTGTCAGTCAACAAACAAGTGCAATGCTTGAAGACTATTAACTTTCATAATGAAATTTAAAAATAGCCTAAATAGCATTATATTTTGAGATGAGGCTTAATTTTCAACTATCAAACTTCTTTTCAAGGTTCACCGAACTGCTGTATAAACGAGAATTGCCCAGCTTCAGTGTGTTTTGCGCGCAAAGTACCAAATTCTGGAAGTCATTGTCAGTGAATCTAATTTTTCCCTGATTTTCTCTCTTCGCAGGAGGGCGGCGCGTATTTATCAGCCCTGAAGTGTCCCAAAGACTCCTGCGAAGGGCGTCTGTTGCCACTGCAACCACTGGTTCTGGGATCTTCGTGGTCCTGCGACGTCTGCAGCACGGAAATGAACAATAAGAAGGTGTCGCGAGTGCAGGATGTTCTCTCGGCTCTGATCATCACGAAGATCAGGAAATCTGATCCCAGAATTGTGCTGGACTTCCTCAAAACGTGCATCAACAACATCATGCCGGATTCCAATCAATTCATTGTGGAGCTGAAACTGTTCGTCATATGGAATTTGGGCAATGACGGGAAACATGGTGAAAATACCTCGCCAATTCATCTCAAGCAGCAGATATTGGGTCAGAAAGCCAATGCGATTGCTGCTTGAGGGTGAATTAGCAAATTAGACAAAGTTTCTACTTCTTGCCTCTTTAACTGAAATTGATTTTTACAGCTCAATTCACTAAACTCTATCTGTAATTATGTGTATTTGTGTTTGGCAAACAGATTATACTTTGGAGGAGTTCCAGGCCAAGGAGAAGTTCTGCCTGGAGCTGATGGGATTGTTGGAGCAAATGGGCGCCGGCGAGTGTACAATAAAAGCTCTCATCTACTTTGAGCTTTACAAGTGTCGTGAGCAATTAGTCAAATTGCAACGTCAGGAGGATGAGGTGTGATTTTGTTCCCTATCCTTGTTTGTGTTCTCAAATTGCCAGAAAGTTGCCAACAGATAATTATTAATCTCAATGCAATTACTCGTGTACTGTCCACAATCACTCTCACCGTAAATGTTACACTTCTTTGCCACTCGTGCTCTAAATTTACCCACGATGATTGTCACATTGTATTGTAGGGAAAGAGACAGAGGACAAATTAATTTAGAGACTCCGTGTGATTTTTTTTATTTTGCCAAGACATATTTTTACACAGATGCAATCATCCATTAAATTCCTTTAACAGCACGAATGTGCGCCTAAGTATGCATTCGGGGCTAGAATTTGCGAAATACCCGCTAAATTATGACTCCAAATGCCTTTTGGGTGGCTTTTATGATAAAGCGAAAGCTCCAGAGATTGAACTCAGCGCCATGTTATGGCTATCAATACCAAATTCCCTTCTACTGCTGTTCACACGAGGGAATCATATTTACGAAAGCGCACAATGGAAACGTTTTAATTATTTGAGCTTTTAATGCTTTAGCTTACTCTCTCTCTCTCTTTCGCACTTTCTGTCTCACAATAAACTTTCACATTTTCCTCCTTCACATTGTGATGTGCCGAATGTTTCGTTGCCATAAATAAACCAATAAAATCAATTGATTTAGTTGAATTGTATTGTCTTTTACTGTGTATTGTGTGATCTGCGTGCAAATACATAAATGACCATTTTATGTTCCACATATTCAGGTAGAAACAGAGTTAGAAACTCGATAGATATGTCGTGAATTTGTGTGAAATTCAGACAAGTGTTGACTCAGCAAAGTACATATTTACAGGATGTTTACAAACATACACAAATAAGACACTCACAAATTTATCAATCGATTGTCTGACTATTTTTACTTCATTATCTCAATTTGATAATTATAGCTCAATCAGTGTAGTCAAAAATTGGCTAAAACAGCATACTTTTGAGAAGTTATCATCAAGGTATAGTATTGCCTAGTCTATACACTCTCTTACCAAACTATCTTCCTTCGAATTAAAAGAAAAAAAAAGGAATTCAAGAGTGACTAGCTTTTCCGCCAAATTTCAATAATCATACTCAATAGATTCTCATTTTATCAAACACATTTTTCTTCAAATTTCCGCACAACCCAACGAAGTTCTCAGTATCCAAAACCACAAGCCGCAACCCAAATTAATACTCAAAGTTTCACAATAAGCATCTTGCACGTGAATATGTGTATCTTATCATCCTCTGAACTGTTCTCTGTTTCACACCAACTCTGTGCCTGTGCTGAATGTGTCGATTTTGGGAAATTAATTTTGGGGCTTTGTAACTTTCTCTCTCTCTTTCCTTGTGGAAATATTTGTAGGAGCAGGAGGCAAAGTATCGGGTTTTGAATCGCAAACTCCTCGATAGAAGTTGGTCAATGCTGAAGTGGAGCGTTGGAGCACCGCCGGAACTTCGACAACTCATGCAGCGAATATGCGCTGCAGAATGCGAGGATCGAGAGAAATCGAGCCTCAATGGGAGTCATCACTGAAATTAATTCAACCTCTGTATACCTGAGGAGACTTTCTTATTCCTCCCAAGAGCACCCAAACTTTCTTCCCAGAATGCAACCCGAATCCGCTTATCTCTGTAGTATTATCTGGTAACTTTATTAGACATTATACATTTACCTAATAGTTTATATATACAATTTTTACATTCAAGTAGTAAAATGTACATTAACATGTCGAAAGTTGTGTGACGGACGTGAAATAGTACAAAATTTTCGATAGAACATGCTTGTTAAACCGTAGGTTCGCTAGATATTATAGATTGTTAGACTTCTTGTCATATATTTTACTACAAATATAAAAAGACGCTTACACTCTCACGAGATATGTATTTCCACATATTCTTCCTCCTGCATTGAAAATTATTATCAAGAATAAATTGACTTACAATCCTAGCTAAAAAGTTGTATTTTGGTCGCGCAAACGGGCATTGTAATGATAATTTCTGTCTCTCAAAAATGTCTTGCAAGAAAGCAACTGTGGCCGCGTGCAACATCTCCGCATGCTTGAGGAAAATATATATGGTTTCCGTGTAAAAATCTTCCGTCAGTGACCGTACAATAAGAGAGAAAATAGTTCGTGATGATTTGTGCCAGAAAATGCGCATTTGTATATAGAGACAATATGATTGAAATCTCATCATATATAAGAATAGAACGTAAGAGTGCTTTCTCCCTTGCTGCTTTTTCTCATCATATCCACTAATGAGGAAGACTCTGTTAACTGACAGCGCTAAATTGGCAAGGATTGTGAGGTGGAGAAGTCTTCCCTACAGTGTGCCACTGTTGAAGCACGATGAGCGCCTCTTCCTGAGGTACCGCTGAAGTGGTGGAATGCCAAACAGAATGAGCCCGCTGACAGCAATCGTTACTCCCGCCATGAGAAATGCTGGAGTGTATGTTTGGGTAACGTCATACAGCCAACCTGATCGAGTGCAGAAGAAAAATATGCATCAATTTCACATCTGAGGGTCATTGACAGCTCTAATATCATCATCAATCTCGGGTTCCAATAGTGACTATTGAGACGAATCGCTATATTTTGCGAAATACCACTCCACAAATTTGTAATACAAAGTGATCGGTTGATTGGAAGCCATGCTCACTGATAAAGTCACTCATAGTAGCTGCGATCTTATCAGTTGGGCAAGTGTGTGGCTTCCATAAATACATCAGAGGAGTGAGAAAAAAATGTGGCACATCAGTAATTATTTCCCACAGATATTTTCTCACCCAGTTTTTCACTATCTCGCGCGATTCTGCTGTTGACGAAACCACGCGAGGTACAATTTACTCACCAGCAAGTGGAGGTCCCACGAGTGATGCAATGCCTTGGAAGAGCAGCAAAAGTCCAAATGCGTTAGTCAACTTTGTGAGGCCGAGTAAGTCAACCAGAATCACGGATGTTAATCCCACGTAGGCACCAATTGTGAATCCAAACACTACCGAGTAAACGCTCAGCCAAAAGAAGTCCAGACAGAAGATTGATAAGGCAGTTGCTGAAAGGAAGCACCAAAGCATTGAAAGTCCAATTATCACACTATATTTTATAGCTCTAAACTTACCGACTCCGCAAATAGTAAGACACAGATTGTAGACCAACAGTCGATTCACCCACGGTTTGTCAGAGAAATAGCCCAGGATGATCCTCCCTACCGTGTTGGCCACACCGATGATGGCCAGCAGATAGCTAGTCTCCTCCTTGGTTAGGCCCTGCTCCTCTCCTTGCGGCGCCAGGAAGACGTACGGCACGTAGAAACCGATGCTAGTGCAGAAGTTAGACACGACGAAGAGGATAAATACGGCATCGCGCATGATGGAGAAGTTGAGCATTTCGCGGAATGTGTCTCTCGTTTCCTTGGAGCACGGCACGCATCCGCACAGAGTGAACTCCTCAGGAGTTTCCTGGGCGGCTGGCGTTGCCTCTCGCCTGAGAGAACCATATCGATCGGACTCGGTGATCGTCAATTCGCCGCGCGAGCGGTATTGCGGGATATTCAGCAAGGAGCCCTGATAGAGGATGTCTGGCCGGTACATCGTTCCACTGCCGATGGAGCGATTGCTGGCCCTGAGGGAAGCATCAGCTGCAGAAGACGTTAGTAAGGGTTGACTGGAAGTCTGTCTGATCCCGTTCTCCACATTCCCATTGGGATCTCGCCGTGTCACGGTGTCCTGTGTGATCTCCTGGCCGATGCTCACTGATCGCTGGATAGGAGACTCATTGTCCTCGGGCAGAGGCAGTCTATTGTCTGACACAAGTCTCAGTCTGTTGCTGGAAGTAGATCCACCCTGTTTGCTGCTCGAGGCCAGATTCTTGAGCGGCGTCTCCTCATCTGTGCTCTTCCGCTTCTTCTTCTTCGGCGCCTCGAGAGGCCTGAACATCGCGCCAAAGATCATGCAGTTGAGAACAATGCCGGAGATGATCAGCATCGCTCCTCGCCACCCGTAGTTCCCGATCAGGGACTCCGTGAGTGGGGCGAATATGAAGGTGCCCAGTCCAGAGCCACATACGGCAATGCCCGTGGCCAGAGAGCGATACTTCTCGAAATACATCGTCACGCTGACGATTGCCGGCAGGTAGATCAGCCCGAAGCCCATGCCACAGCCCAGCCCAACAGTGATGATGAGCGTGAGGACATTCTGTGCGAACACACTGGCAATTAGGGAGATGCCAGCCAAGAGAGAGCCCGCAATTGTGACAGCCCGGCATCCGTATCGATTAACAAAGGACGATGAGATTGGACCTGGAATGAGAGGGGAAAGTTTGTCAATAAAAAGTAGATCTCTCTCCCCCTAAGAGATTAATAAGTCTTTGTCACACGCGCTGAATTTTCAAGAAAGTACCACAGAAAGTGCTTTTAGCTATTACGAGGAAACTTTTTAAATTAGCACCTGAGAGGAAATTCGACAGGTGCACCAGACAAAGGTGTTAACACAATAACAAAGTGACATGAAAAGAGCACTCAGTGTCGAAATTAGGAGGCTGAGATTTCTCACCCAACTCTCATCAAGTCAATATGATCGGAAATGGGGGAAAAATGATGGGAATGTGAATCATGAAATGCTCATCACGAAAGCTGCACTCGCTTATGTTATCCCGTGCGGCTGCTTATCAACGTCCTTTCTCATCGTGTGATAAATTCTTTGCGGTTCTCACAGGTGCCCAGAGCGGAATTCAATTGTGTGAACATCGATTAAATTCACCAACAATTTATTCCATGCAATTTATCTCCATAGATCAGAAATTTCCTCTCTCGTCCTATCGTCCATGTGAGGATTTATATTGTATCCTATGTACATACGTAGAGTATTTGATGTCATACCTGAACATAGGGTGACTCCAACCAAAATGGACACAATCCATGCCGTGTAGCTCTTGTCTTCCCCAAAGTACGTCAGGAATTCCACATAGAACATGCCGAAGGAGTAGGTCATGCCATCAGCTAGAATCAGAATCAATTTATCCACAATATTAAAGACTGAGCAATGGGAAGTGTCTCATATTCAACATGGAATTGGGGATGGAGGAATTTGAGAGTTTTCTCCTCGTGTTCGAGCACTTCATGCGAGATTTCTCAACTTTTTCTTCCCTACGACATATAACGCCTTCACATTTGGAATTTGGAGATTAATTTTATCACAGTGTGTGTCATCCAGAGATAACTTGTTGTACATGGTCGTTGAGATATTAAATGTAATGCCTCTGAAGAAATGTGAGTGCTTGCATTGCATTTATGAGTCGGTGCTCTTCACTGTCACATGAAATCATCATATTAATCCATCATAGGAATGGGGATATAAGGGGTGATCCCAGGGAAGTCGCGCTGATGAGGTTATCTCCTGTCTCCTGCGGGATAATAGCTAATAACCCCTGAGAGTTTAATGATGAGTGAATGACGGCATATTAATGATACGAATCTCTGCATTAGCCATTCGCATCCGCTTAGGCGTTTACGAGTCCGTCTTATCAGAGGGACAGTGTGGGCTCTTGAAACATGCGCGATGTCTTGTTTATTATCACTATAGACACTTTATGGCCCAAATATCACAGCGAATTACTTGACTCTGTGATGTTACGAACTGATGAGGGATTGACGAATGATTAATAATCTTGTTGCTGTACAAGTTTGGCAAATATGCTCTTGATTCCACACAGACACTCTGTGTGACATCATAGTGGAATTGATTAATTAATTCATGCCATAAACTTCGAGGTATTAATATTTGTCTTGCTCTTGCGTATACCTTGTTATAATATATACACTTTACACATATAGATTTGCCATCTTGATTCAATTATTCCAACACCCTGTAATGGAAGCACACATTCTCAACACTTTGAGTTTGAGTAAAGGTGTTGTTTGGTTAAGGACTTCATCATGCAGTGACGAAAGTGCATGTGACGGAGTGTCGAGAGCAATTATGCATTATCTTAATCACTGGGATAATAATTTTCATAGAATGTTTCCATAATTGCCACAGTTTAAAGGGATGATCATCTAATCTTTTTCAGACTGCAAAATCATGTCATTAGTGATCAAAGGCTGTGAAATTATTTGTTGACAAATATCACGTGTTGTTATCACGGAGAGAAATATGGTAAAAAATAACTTTATGGCTCAGTGACCGAAAAACCCCGAAAATACAGAGCATATCACTTATTCAGAATTACCAAAAGGCCAACAATCCACACATCGAGTGCTTCTGAATTGTTCAATAAAGCGATGATTATTATGTTTCGCCTGTTTCGCTGTGTGATTCTTTTGACAAAGTCCAAAAAAATTGAACTGCAAGAGTAACCAAACACGGCGATGCGTGTTGTTTTTTAAAATAGAGTAAAATTTCAATTTGTTTTTAAATCACCGCTTTTTACCACAAAGAGAAAATTTTGCATGCAAATTCCATACAATACAATTGCAATGTTATAATTTCGGAATAGTTTGAATGAGTAAATATATTAAAACTTATTAAATTAATTTTGTAGACACAAACCATCATATTTCATGGACACAAAATATGTGTTTTTATTCACAAATTTGCTCGACATGGAAATTGTATCAATGTCAAGGAGAAGAACAAAGCATAATGCACATCATATGTGGATTTATGCCATTTGATTGTGTATTGCATTCCTCAGACAAGTATCTTTCGCATACAAGAACATTTATGAGGTGCCGTGAGTGATTGATTGCTTTGTAGTTTACTAGGATTAAGGGTGAAGGTCCACTAGAGTTGAAGAGGCAGCTTTAAATCATTACGATTGCCCTGCAGCTGCCGCACGCTAAAACTGTTCGACAAGCTGATAAATAAATTTGTAGATTAACTGAGTATATAAATGCTCTAATAACAAAATTCCTCCATTGGTATTAATCTAATCAATTTGCTACTGGCTTTTGAGCATTGAAGATTTAGTTTTAAGATGATTATTTCATACTTTTGACACTGAATTTTGGCATTTAGTATAGAAACAGTGATATTTACTGTTGGCACTGAAACCGTGTTGATGAGAATGTCTTCATTTTGTACATTATTATTAAATTGATTTTCTACGCCCGTATTCAATTTTGTAAATTAAAATTCTAATTGAATGGAATATTGATAAATATGCAAATATATTAATCGCATTATGGTGTTGGCGAAATGGTGCACTCCATGTCAATAAAATCATTTTTATAGTCACCTCATTAATGCATCAGAATTTGCCCACGTAGCTTAATTATACTCATAATGGAAAATTAAATTTTTCTCTCAACTGTTCGCGAGAGTCACAGCGATATATTTGGAAGTTAACAGGATTTACATAAATAGAGCCCTCAATCAAGTTCCACCGTCAAATCGAATTGATATCGAAATGCCACGTGCTCCACTTTGGGCGGCGCATCGGCTGGCACGGGGTTGAGGGGAGAGGGAGGCGAGTGCGGGGGGTGGTGTGGGTGGATAAAATTGTAAAGTACTTACTGACGATGTGAATGGCGAAAGAGGCAAAGGCCACCATCCATCTACAAAGATTATGTCATTGTTGCTGTGTGAGAATTCAAGAGAGGCTCCGCGAGACACTCACCCCCAGCCGCCGTCCGGAGGCGCCGGCAGCTGCGCCTCCTCCTCGCCACCGTCCGTGGCGTCCCTGCGTGGGGCTGCTGGTCCATGGGTCATCCTCGCGACGCGGCACGGCGATCAATGCGTTGGCACGTGGAGTCGCTGAGCGAGCGGACAGTTGTGGCGAATCTATCGCAACGTGATCGTGCTGACATGAAAAACAGGCGCTTTGCCCGACTTTTCGCACCGATTTATCACACACAATTAAATATTATTGAATTAACCTCGAGTCATTTTCCGCTTTTGAGCAATTCGACGGGTTGCGTGATAAGAAAGCCGCCCCGCGAGACTTTATCTATCGAAAATGTTAAATTGACGAAATCATGCGAACGCGATGTTTGTCTCCTCGCGCACACTTGCCACCTTCATCTGAGCGAACTGCGGCCAAGTCGAGAGTGTTGGGAAATTGCGGTGGGAAAAAGGCGCAATATCGCGGTCTAAACACTTTATCAGCTGATTGGAATCTCGTCGTCTTTCGCCAACTCTCTTCAATATAGTGCAAAACGGCGGGGGAAAATGTGCGCAAGCAGGGTCACATTTATATTTAGTCAGACACTAACACAATACTTATTGGCACTGAAAACGCGCGCGGAATTTATGCCGTACGATTCGACATTGATATAACAAAGCTCCACTGCACCGCGATGTCCGTCCGTTCAACTTCATTCACCTACAAAGAGAAAATGACTTGAGTTTGGTTGTGGAAGCCGAATTGAAGTGTCTGGGCTTTTCTTTCGCGCGCCAGCCAAGCCTACACTCAGGCATGTGTGTTCGTAAGACCAACACTGCGAAAAATATTGATAAATTTTCCGTCTCAATGTGTGTAAACACTATAAATAATAATGTAATCTTTATTCCCCGCCATATACACAACACTCAGTGTATAGACAGCGAAATCTTTTTATCGCCCAACACAAATATAGCATGTGATAATGACTTTTTGATCTCCACGAGTGCACAAACTGTGTCTGTGAGAACTTTTCGATATACACAATTTTCGGATGTGGAGAAAGAAAGAGTGCGAAAAGTGTTGAGTCACTGGGTGGAGAATTCCTCCTACACTTTGTATTTGTTGTGCGCCGGGATCAGTGGGGACGCCTGGTAGTTTCCACTATCCACTAAAATCCACACATATTTTTGGGCTATTCTGACGCGGTGTAATCGGCGTACTAAAAAATTAATTATTCACAATTTTGGAGCTTTTGCGCGTTCACGTGCATTGATAATAAAAGCAGCACAATAAACGCGTGGGGAGACGAAAAAGTTTGCGTGGTTGCGTCCTATTTATAATCACAGTGGGAGATCATTTATTGTCGATGTTCGCATGAGTATTTTAATGTAATTAGAATGGCTGAGGAATTGACCGCGAAATTTTTTCACCGCATACATAAATTAAAGCTGAAATGCTAAAGCGATTAAACCACGATGTTCTAACTCTATGACCGGCTAAAGCCAGTTTCTATACATTCACTGAAAACTGTGTCACATTTTTTTATTGTCTCTGTGAAATTATTTAATCCAAGTCGGAATAGAAAATGTGACTCTTGAATATTTATTTACTTTACCCACAAAGAAGTGCAAGAGTTTAATTCTGAATTGCGAGTGTTTCTCAGCTATCAAGCCAATGTTTATACATAGATAAATTTTGAAATATTTTCTCTGTGTGGCTTGAAGAAAAGTGTTTGCTAGAGTCAAACAAAGGGGAATTAATTTTTTTCGCATGCGACAATTATAGTATCGGCAACAGTGTGACTTTTCCGGGCCAAAGTCTGCGTGTTATTAAATTTCCCTCGAGTCTTTCACGAGAGGTGATGATTTGCATAAAAAATTACAGTGAAAATTTGTACACCCAGTGTTTATTTTCACGAGAAAGCCATACTGCTTGCGGTGCTCGTTTCAACAAAAGCAAGAGCATGTCTTGATGATAGATGAAATTTAGGAGGAAAACCACAAGAGTTCTCCTAATGAAATTCCCACCGTTATACACAAAATATCTCAGGATTTTCACCATCTCTCTATACTATATATGCTCCGGTTATTTCAATTTATACTCTGTTTATCTTGCCTTATGCTTTATCGCAATTCAAACAATTGGCGACGCTGTTGTTTATCGAAAAGGTCGCACACATGCTCCGAACTCCCTCTGGAAATGATAATTATCCGGACTCTGAGACTACTGGCAAAAAAATATACTTCAATCTCTTTATCTGCAGAGTGGGAGGCGGTGTTTTCAGTTTTCATGAAAAACTTTTGCTCTTTCTCTCCATTAAGAAAAGTCATAAAAGTGTTGAACTTTTAAAGACTACACAACGCACCGCTTTCAGTCTTCACAAAAGGACTCTTTTTGCTCCACGAGGAGTGTGGGTGACACGGTCAGGCATTCACCTCCATTCTCTCAGCTATTCACCTAGAATTTCCATCAGACCGGAGAGCCACTCGTGGCTTCGTGAGAATGGCCAGAATTGCGAATGCCTCACAATGAAATGTACAATTCACTTCCATTTGACACACTCTTGCTTTCACACTGCAACTCTCAAGCCCGGAGGAGAGTATATTTCTAGCCACAGGAGTACTTCAGTGAGCTATTGCCCAAGAGAGACTGAGAACGGAGTGTGGATCTAAGAATATTTTTTCGGTAGAGTAATTAAAGCAGTCAGCATAGCGACTACCGGAGAGAAGCCGCGCGATATCGACTGTGATCGTCCGAAAAACACGCCAGAATAGCGCACCATTGTGCGTGTTAAAAATATTCATACAGCAGGAGAAGTCACGATAAAAAAGCAGAAGAGAGAGAGAGGGAGAAGAAATCAAGGAATGAGAGTGAGAGTTAAAATTGGCGACAACAATCGGGCACACTGAAATGTACATTCCACCAAAGAAAAGCCAAAGAGTCGCAATGCAAAGGAGTTTCTGTGACCATTTCTGAGAGGCAAAAGTGTAATTTATTGGCAAGTTTTTCCCTCGACTTATTTTCTCATAAGAATGCGGTTTGAGCGAGAAAATCAATATAAATTTTTCCCTCACAAAAGAGCCGCATAATTGGGTTAACTTCACAGAATTTTATCGCGTATATGCATGTTGAGAAATGATGAATATGTCATTCGCATTCAAATAGCATGAAATTATCTCAGTGTTTACATTTCTTTCACTCTCAGCTGTGCGGCCTTTATCTCCATTTTTAATGAGATACAAATTAATTAGTCGGAATTTGCATAGACATTTTTTCCCCATTTATACATAGAATAAATTAAGGATTTGAAATTTTGCTCAGAAGCTGAACTGTGACGGGAAGATTTCTAGCAAATTAATAAGCAATATAAAGATCAATATTGAATTTGTAAGAAGTTTGTTTAACATGAAATATTGACAGTGAGTCTTTCTGTGCTGAAGAATCTTCTCAGTCAATTTCTTGCGGCTTTCATTTCGCTGTATTCACTGCTCTTGTGTTTCTCTTCTAAGAAAAGTTTACGCGAATAATTCTACAGCAAAATGATGAGAGTTAGTCTGCAGAGATTTAAAAAAATAAAACTGTCTATCTTCATCGCTGAAAGTTTCATTTTCTTGCACGTAAGATTGGAAGTCTCATCATATCAGTTGATGTGTTGCTTTTATGTATTTTTATCGGCTTCACGCGAGAAAAGTGTTGCAACAGAGGCGAAAACCATTTAATGCACGAAGTTGGATCGTTATTTACTATATTGCATCACCATTCTCTGGTCTTAATTGATTCTGTCAACATCAATAAATACGACCAAAACAATTCCAATAGCCGATGATGTACTTGAGTGTCGCCAATCAAAAATCAAGTGCGTGAACATGGAGAGAATTGGTGAGATAAGATATAATTAAAGAAAAGATCTCACTGTGTCAATGTATTTCTGGGTTGGCTCAATCGATATCGCAATGCTTCAGTCGCTCTCTGCGACACTCAATGCAGTAAATTCACAATTTCAGAATCGTCTTTCACTTGATCGGGCCAAAAATTGGATTTAATTGATTTTAAACACAAAACCCATCCATTTAAATTGCCATAGAAAGGGAACACATTAATCGTCAGCACGTTTCAAACATTGCGACGCGTGCACTGTTTTATACTAATATTTGTTACAAGCAATTACCATCGAAGCTTTAACTGATGGTGACGTTCAGATTGCCATATGGAGGCCAATTTGACGTGCTCAGTGAAAAGTCTGGGAAATGTTTTGCGGTGGAATACTCTGGGGTGGCATTCCTATCTCCCAAAATTCCCCGGAGACAAATCTGTCGGTATTATTTGCCACCCAGGATGAGCATTAACTGCCATTCTAGGCGTTTAGCTAAGCGCTTGAACATGTGACGAATACAGGGTAATTTACGGCTTAATGCAACTCAGTGAATCAACCATGGATTCGATGGAGCTCTGCTCTCACCCACGCAACGCACCCAAACTCCGCAAATTGAGCGCAAAGAGACAACTTTTCGGGGATTTAAAACGCCAAAAGTAATCAATAAATACACTAAATACTTCTTTCCCGTCGCGATTTCGCTCACTCTGTCCCAATTTTGCTGCGATGTTCACGGGAGTATAAAATTTCTTTGTTGAGCCACGGGCGGAAAACTCGAGGTGAATGATATAGCAATTTGCGTGTGAAATGAAAATTATTCGTTTTTGAGAAGGAAGCAGTTTGTAATGGTAATTGATCTGTTAAAGGTCTAGTGAAGAGTTTCACAATAAAATTGTTGGATCAAATTGAAAGCCCTAATTGCTTAAGTATAAGCTCTGCAATACAGTTAAATCCAATTATTAGAAATATAAGCAAATTGACACAAAGACAAATTTCATATTTGACTAATATTGAGTTGTTTTCCATTGTTAGGCGAGGGTCTAACACAACAAATACTTATTTATCAGTTATATCTTGTCCCTCTATCTGGAATACTGGAGAGATGGCGGAAGAGAAACGATAATTAGTTCCAAGTTTCGTATATTATTTCCTCTTTGATGCCAATATTCTGAGATTTTCCGCTTCGATTGGCAATAAATTTGCTCATGGCTGGAGACTTGTGCTGATGTCGCAGCGAAGAGTGACTTTTGCCCCGGAGAGGGTGAAATGTGAGGCGTTGGATCACATCAAAAATATCTGACTGTCTCTACTTGACTCGTGTGAAATTCACATCCCAGATGATACAAAGGGAAGACGTCTAGTCGATATTTATTTGTGATTTGTTCGGAGACATTTAACAGATGACTGGAGTGGAAGGGAAGTCACCCACGTCTGCCCAACTCTGTGGTGCACCATCAATCCTCTCCCAGTGCTTCGTGTGCCACGTCAAGGGCTTTGGCTAAAGATTTATATTGACTTGATCAATGAGTGACGGATAGATATTTTATTGGTTGGCCCTCTATTTAGCATTGGAATGCTGCCTGTGCGTGGATACAGACAGCATCATGTTTATTTGTCCTTGTATCGCTCCCAGGGCGGAAAGGGTTGAGCTTATCGTGGGAAATTGACCGGAGGGAGATGGACATTTGCCGGGGAGATATTTGCAATCTGCAACTTTTATTTGCAGTCTGTGTTGATGCGGAGTGTTTTACATTTTGCCAATTCCACATCGCCCGCAAATTCACTAGACACTGATATCTGTGCTCTCCTCTATGCTGCGTATATGCTTTATAATCATCAAATATTAGTCACGGAAATTTAGTGCACATTATTTCCACTTGTGCGACATTCAATATTGACACTCATGCACAAAAGCTCCCTATGTCGAGCATCTATTTTGCACTCATCTCTATTGCCATTACACTTTAATTTGAGTTACAAACTTTGCATTATGGATATTAATGCGCTTAAGTGCAATATTTGAGTTTGCCAGAAACCAAATTAAGCACGAGTTTTTATACATTTTTAACATTTCCCGCTGTACTTAAATGGAAAAAGAGAACTTTGAACATTCCTCTGCCATTGGCATGATTTCTATAACTCAATATAAGACCAAATCTCAATCTCTTGAGTGAGAATTGCTCTTGATTGCTATTCCTATAGACTCTGAATTGAGAAGTAAGTGCATAGAAACTGCTCTGCAGAGATGCTTTCGGATAAAATGGGAGTGTTGCTCTCCTTTAGGATTCCCAAACAAAATTTTCAGGGAAATAAATAGAGCAAACATCCCTTTGGCTCTAACCCCGCACGTACAATATCAAAATGTAAGCAAATCTTGTAATTTCATTTGAAACTTATGCAAATATGTGCTATAGTTTCGTGCGATGGAAACTTTGCAACATCAAAGACTTTCCTGCTGAGAGCTAAAGATAAATGGTTTTATGATTTGGTGGATTTTCTCTCTCTCTCTCTCTTTTCTCTTTATTTCATCCCAACTTCAACCATGCGAGAGATTTTGAATTTCATTAGAGAAATTCTCTACCCCGGGATAAAAAATATATATGCAGGGAAAAGGAAAAGAAGCGAGATGAGGGAAGTTGATAAGAATTCCGTGTATGTGTACAATATGTTAAGGAGAATTTGCAAAAGAGCCCATAGTCTTGGGGGGATAAAGGAAAAGCCGCATTCTTTCTTTCTCCCATGACAGTGGGTGGCTGGGAGAAAGGATGTAAAGGGACATTACTAAGCTTTGGCGCAGCTAAACCCATGAGCGAGCTGGAAGTTCTGCGAGATGTTCGAAATGCGATTCTCAATTAAACAACAATTTAACAATAATTTTATTTACCTTTGCACAAATTAAAATTTCACATTTTCTTCTGAAAGGAATATTATCGGGACTATTCCTTTGTTAAGTCTCACGCGGTCTTAGAATTTCCCAACGTATGATTTATGATTCCCAAAGAGGAGATATTATTAAAGAGTTAAAATCTTTCGAATATTTGCATGACAAAAGCTTCTTTCTGAACAAATTGAGGCATTTCCTAAATAATAATGCTTAGAAAGCTCAATGTTATTGCTTTTTTAGATAATTTAATTGATTTTCCAGGGTTGAAAGGATTAAAATTAATTGAATAAGAATTTCTAAGGTGGATTCATAATGAAATTAAAACCGAAATTGCTCATGAACTAATTCTGGAACATTAAAATCATTTCTTACAATCTGAAATCAAAACATTTGAATAGGTTAAGTTCCTTGAGACGAAAGAATCTTGATTAGATTATAATATGTAAGAAATTATCTTGCGAAATAGTTGAAGAAGTCTAAAAAGCGATGAAAAATGGATTCAGAAGTGACTAAAGTGTGAAAGATTGTGCACAGAGGCTGCGGAAGTGATCCTGAATTCCCAATTTCGTGATTTTGTCAAAGATTAGGATCACATTTAAGCGCTTGTAGATAACAAATAAAACTTTCAAGAAGGTGAATGAAATAAATTCATATAATTTCGAAAATTTCCAGCAATTCTTTGTGTGACGAGAAGTTTGTATGACTAGCAGTGGAACGGATATAAACTTTCAAGAGTGTGTCGAGTGTGTTATATCCCTGGCGAAGAAGGAATAATGCAGACAAGTAGCGCATCTTTTGAATACTTAAACTTCTCACTGGCAAGGAGAGCAGGAAAAACGTAATCTCGTGCATTCTGTTTACAAAGAGCTTATAAATAAAGATGTGAGCTTTCATCATTCACCAGCAACATTGTGTGTCGTGAATACGTTTATTCACATTTTCTCCACCCAAGTACAACTTGACACCGCACGTTTTATGTCATCTCCTCAAGATAGACTCAGACCTACGTGCGTTCCCGGGGAGCTTGCCTGAGCAAACACCGGATGATGCGGAATCTGGGGTGCATCTATCTCTGCAAAAATGCGATAGTGTCAATGGAGAGCAATGCAGCTGCAGAACTGGGTCACGGTCGATCGATAGTGACATAGCTGGGGCGGCGAATGATAAATGCTGCGCTTGTTTTCCGTTTAAGATTTCAGTATTTATTCCGCCTTGAAATCGCCACACTGGAACCTTTTTCACCACACAGTCAAAGAAAGAGCACAGCCAATGCGATACTGTGCAGGAAAATCCCCAAATTTATACAGAACATAGAGGAATTTCGAATGGCAACAGACACACTCCGTCCATGCCAACGTTAAGCCGAAATTATCGATTTCCCGGGATTTGCGTGCAAAACATCTCAGAGCATTTCCACTGTGTTTTCCCCGGAATAGCATACCCAGAACTGTTACATTCATTAAACCCTCTCTCTCTGTGTCACTTTTACTGCCATTTACCTGCATCCATTGGTGTTTTTCCATCGTCAAACATTCGCTCTCACCCGCAAACTGACGGCACGACAAAAAAGCTCCACTGAGCTCCACTTTTGGCCAGAAAATTCATCCAAATTGTGTGCAAAAACTGTCAATGCGACTGCATGGAGTGTGTGCGGAGCAGAAAGAAGGCAAAATGATAAATAAAATACCGGAAAAGCCGCGTGCTCCCCTTGTGGGGGCCACGATGCACTAAAACTGAAACCTCGCGGTGTTTTCTGCACTTGATGGACTTGTCAAAAATACATCTACATTGTAACCACGCCAATGATTTTCACCCCAAAAGGAGGGCGATACGCGTCAAAGTGCAGGGCACTCAGTGAGTCAAACAGAGATGACTCTATAGTGGGCTTCGAATACACTACCGATGCCCTTTTCACTTCCATGCGCTTTGGCATCTTTCTCCTTTCTTTGTGTTTGTTTTTGCTCTGAGCCTAAGTGAGAATTCTTGGGATATTTTTCAGACATTCCACAAAATTAAACTTCACTGGAATAGATAGATTAGCTAATTTATTTTACATGCACAATGAGTATTTTTTATTTGAGAAAAAAATATATTGTAAAAAGTAAGTAAAATCACCCGGATACGTTTAATATTCGAGTGGTGTAATTTTCCTTAGCGCCCGGTACATAATTTCAGTGTAGAATTGCGCAGAAGAATCTGCACGAGACCTTGTTTGGAGTTATGCAAAAAGGGGTGAATTTCTCTGCTATGCTGCACCGCAAGCATCCTTGCACGAGATGAAAGTCTGGGAAAAAGCATAAAAAATTCACAGAATTTGTGGTTCATGTCGAACAGCACAGAAACGTGGGGTGAAAGTCTCAATCTTCATGCGCTCCCAATTGCCAAATGCCTCGCAGTATTTGATTCATTTTTCACCAATGCTCTTTGCCAAAGAGAAAAGCGAGACAGGCACAGAGTCTCCACTGTAAAGTGGAGCATGAAAGTTTCATTGCAGCGAAGGTCTTCATAAATTTATCCGTCTCGCACGTATAGTTTTTCCATTAGGAAAATTGAAAATCAATATTAAATGTATTTTATGTTCGATTAAAATTTCGTTGAAACAAGGAAAATTGTTATTCTTTTTTATCTGTTTGGCGGGGAAGGAAAGTTACAAACAACACTCTTTCTGCGCCTGTGCATGAGCAGAGGCGAGACACACCAGAACGCGTTGTTCAGCGGTGAGCTTTCAGTCGCGCGAAAGCTCCGTCACAACGGTCGCTTTTACTGTCCGGTGAAGACGTTCTCGTGACTGTGTCTTGTTCTCCGGCTCTGAAACCCGTGGCAAACGCTGCTCAGCTCCTGTCATTCGGTTGACATTGGTTCTCCTGGCGGAAGTGAACACGTTCTGTCGACACTGTCGATTGGCAACGATGGAAAGCGTCATTTGGTGGATTTTACTGATTTTTGGCTCCAACCTGAATAGCGAGGCTCTCGTAGAAGGTCGCGCGGTGAGTAGCAATTTGAGGGTATTTATTGGGACACCGAAGATCGCGGTGACATCGTCCTATAGCCTGGTCGAGATATCAAAACAACCGTAAAATCATATTCAATTAATTTACATAAATTACAGGATATTGGGTCTAAATTAAACACAATAAATTATATGAACAATACATTAACAGTGGCGTGTGGGCTCGTGCGGTGGCAATGTGCACTCTGGGTAGGGAATGTATTTAAATTTATTAACGGGCAATCGTTAACCGATAAATTCATTGCATGCGCGTTTTTACCACGCTCAACGCCACGCTTTGTGTCCTCCGAATCTGCAACATAATTATTTTTCTGTTTCCCACCCCCAAATTGGTTAAATCCGCAGCCTCCGCAGCATTAATCATGTGTGACGCACATAATACACAAATTTTATTTTCAATATTCACCCTCAGCGTTTGATATGGGGAAAAAAATGTCCATATAGTAAAATGTGTCAAAAAAGTGTCTATGCAGGGCAACAGCCCAGAGTGGCAAAGACAGAAGAAAATGCAGACATGCGAAAAGGGGTTGCGAACAGCCTATGTACATCGGGTGTAGAACATGATTTAATATTTCAAAGCTCATATATCAATCTCGAAAATTTGTGATTTATTTATTCAAACACGCACCGAATGCAAAAGCCTTTTAGTTTTAATATTTTATAAGGGTTAAGGGATTGCCATACCACTTGCTCCCACATCGTGTCGAATAACGCCCGGTCTTGAGGAGGGAAAAAAGACGTTAAAGTGTTCTCAATAGAAAATTCCTCACTCTCAGTCGCCCTCCCACGTCCCTGGCGATTTAGTTCAGAGTCAGAGGGAAGTAAGAGTGAAAGAAGTCAGCCTTTTCCACGTATCAAACCGCGCGAACTTGGGGGAGAAGACGGGAAAAACATTATATGAAAATATCCCTCCTCATACCCATTTCATTTTATTGCCACGTGAGACGCAACGTACATTCGGAATTCAGTATATAACCCAGCGTTATGATCTCTTTTAGATCGGAAATGAAAAAAGCGAAAGTCCCGCAGTCTTATTCAATTTTCGCGACAATTCGACGAGAAGCTCCAGTTGAGAGATTGCGAAACCAAATATAATATTCTGCGCTGGATTTATATTGCATATTGAATTTTGCGAGATGTCTCGAAATCTTATAAAAATTCTCCTCTTCTAAAAACTCCTGCATCAAATGTGGGTCTTGAGTATTATTGGGAGTGTAGCTTACATATTTAAGCAAAAGTCTTTGGCAAAATTTAATCATGGAGAACCTACAGCTCAAACTTCTGCGATATGCTTGGAGGAAAATATTCCATTTGTGAGTTAAAAACTAATTGTATCCTCCGAGAAGTTCTCTAGGGATCAGGATAATGATACCGTCGGCAAAATGAGCAAATTGCAATGGGTTCTTAATACTTCTTGTCGAGGAAATGCATTCAGTTTTAATTAAATAGAGAACCAATTTGAGAGAGGAATCATTGAAAATTCTCGAATATAAGCAATGTCAGATCGAAAGCAAGATTTTAAATTACAATGATTAATTCTGCACTGTTTTATGTAATAAAATTGAAAGAATCGCTGCTATTTTCAATGCTCCAGTCTTCACAATATCGCTAAACTTTCTCCATATCAATATCTTTCAATGATTTTGCCACTGCAAAATGCTACTTGGCACCGAGAAAGAGAGATGCAATCGATATCGTGAAACCTCACAAATATTAAATATTATTATTCTCTTCTGCGCGCGGAGCAAAACCAAAATTGCTCCTTGCCTCGGTGGAAGCTTGGCGTGCCATTCTCTTCTGCAAAGAAGTTAATGTGTTTAAAATGAAAACATTACTATCCCGACCCTGGCCTGACTCTCGTGGGGTCGGCACGGATGCTGCGAAATCTTTTCTTCCCTCCAACTTGATATTGTTTCAGAAGGCGCTGAAGTACAAAAAGCTCCCACTCATTGTTGAAACTAATGACTCTGACCATTAACATTTCACTGTAATTGCAAACTTTTTAAAATGCTAGTGTAAACAAATGACGCAGCAGGTTCCCAATGAGCCAGCCTCGCACCTATTGAATGAAATGGCGATATAAGTGGAGAAATGCCATGTAGGGTTGAATTTCCGTACAGTTGGTGGTCATTATAAATTATTAATGACAAAACTTTCCTTCCTTTCTGTTTGTCGACACAAAATGTTGATATCTATTGTATATAAATAATATAAATTCGCTGCTGGAAAAAGGAGGATCGATTTTTTTCACTCGGGAAATGATGTTGTAGCCTTTGAGACAAAAACCCCCTAGAGCTGAAATGATGCTTTCGCCGAAAGTTAGAAACAGCAAAAACATCTAACTTTCTTTCGCATTTCAACTTTTGACTGCGAAGGTGAAATGCAAATTATTTTTCAGCATGAGTGAAGGAGTATTTTTACATAGATGAACTACATCTGTCGAATCTGTTTAGCTTTCATATTAATGGGCGGAGAGCGAGAATGGAAAACGCAAGCCAAATTGTGCTTACGCTTCGGAAAAGGGACGAAGATCACGGCACGAGGCAGGAAAATTGTCCTTAAAAGTCCCTAAACTGCCTAAATCATCAGAAACATGAATGATAATGATACTGGTGGTGAGAGTGGGGATGAAATACGTGAGATAACAGCACTGTGAGACAATGGGGATGGGCTGCGGCTGCCTCCCGATATTTTGGGTATATTTATGAAATTTTCCTATCACGATAGCACTCTTCATCAATCATGTGATTTCACTGCTACACATCGTATTATGGCGAAAAATTTTCCGCCTAATCATCGTGAGGCAGACTGATGTGTGGGAAAATTTGAATCACGCTTTAATCCTCATGCTCTTTTTCAATATTACACACCCTTAATTAAATTTCAGCCTCTCTTTCATTCTCCAGTCAGTTTGCCAAGGAGAAGCTCAAAAGCCCGTGCGAGAGACTTTATAAAATCTCATGGAAAAGAAAACACAACACGCGACTTACTTCAAGATCATTCTATTATATTTGTAATTGTGTTTTAATGATTCACTTTCCTCTCCTGTTATGCATTCTGGGACTTGGGAATTCACCAAGAAGAAAGAGCCAGCAATTTCAAGGAGTTTTATAAAATAATAAGAAAGGAATACATGAAGCGTGAAAGCTTTGTGTGGTTTAAAAATATTGCGTTGTGAAACTGGGGAGAAAAGTTTCGTATTACTTTGTCTTGTAGACCAGAAATTACATTTCGGTCGCTTTCTTCCGCTTTTGTCGTGAAAATTTGGGGGATTGAATTCACTTTTAAACAGTTAATCAGAGAGTTAGGAACAGTTGACTGCGCCCTTTACAAAAAAAAGAGTTAATACATTTTTTCAGCTGAATAAAATACGTAAATACATTTTTGAACATGATTTCGGTGAAAAAATCTATAAGTAATTCCCATAATCCTCTATAAATTGCCATTTTTGTACATTATACGTTTGAGGTTGCATTTGCAACTTTTTAATCCGTACATTAAAAGTATTTTGTAAAAATCAATATTTCCAGGAAATTGCGGTCTTTTTTCCCTATTTTGTACGATTCAATTTCCTCTTTGAGTGTGAATTATGCCAATGGAATCGAAGCAAATACCTAATATTATCGAGTCAAGGGAATCCTTCAAATTACAATTCATATATAATAAATAATATATGAATTGTACCAATTGGAATTCGATTAATCAACTATCAGGAATTAATGTTCGTCTCCAATAATTACCAAATGAATGAGAGATGATGCGTATTTTATAATTATATCAATATTTCATGATCCTTTCACAATTATAAATTAAAGTCCGTGACATGAGCATTTTGCCAATAATAATTTCGTTTCAATATTCATATGTAAATTGATGATTTCAAGGGGAAATCGTAAATTATTCTTGTCCCGTGATTCATCCAATATTACATCTAGTATTGGCAATTTCATACAAAATACCCTCTCAAATATTTATTTACCACCTGAAAAAATACCCCTCATTCATTGTTGAGCTGACTTCATTTTCATCTACCTGTCCATCCCAATTTTCCTCAACCTTTCGCCCAGGTTTGCCGTCTGACAAACCTTTTCTATGTGCCAATGCGTACATCATCATCAAATTAGCACTGATGTATTTTTGTCCACATTCAACCAACATAAAATAGCTATTTCTAATTGACTTTATCCATTAAATGGGCAAATATTGACCCTCACAGTCGGGCTTTTTTCATTCAATCCCTCTTCTCTCCATGCTTTTCTATTTACATACCACAGTTGCAAACACACAAAGCCCGCCAACCACCGCCGCTGACCATCCCCATGCAACCCTCACGGGCGGACCCTTAGCAGCGGCCACACGTGAATTTGTTGCTATTTGCCCTGATGAATTCTCACTACATATTCATGAATCTCAAGTGAATTCAATATCGCAACCGTTGACGCTAATTCGCCTCTTGCGAAGCCATTTGCTGTGTGCGCTAAAATCTATCGGGATCAATCGATTAAATGCGGAGAGCTGAGATATTCTCACCCCGGGAAAAGCCTCTCTGTCTTGTGGTGAATATCATTCCCGCATTACCATATTTTCCGCATCAGTTTGCCGGCATTATCTGCGAATGCTTCTCGCGATGGTCATCATTTCTTCCCATATTCATTTTGTCACGAAGAAAAGCAATTTAATACCAGAGTGTCCAAAGATTATGCACAAAGTTCTGCCGTTTTTCCTCTTATCTCGCCTCAACTCTTTCTATTTTTCCCAACAGTTCAGTGTGAGTGAGAGAGCTTTTAAGCTCTCTGCCAGGAATTATAATTTCAATTTTTCTTCTCTTCTCCCGGAAGAAAAAATTCATTCAGCTGAAATTGATTCCTATTTGCATTCATAAAATTTGATTCCATTGAAATTGCAAATCTGCCAGACATCACAATATTTTCTTGAAATTACTACATTGCAAAATGCTAATGTGATATGTTATGCTAT